GCATCTTATTCCAGGTCGATGCTTTTTTCCTTTGTTGTTGTCGCCTCGCCCCAACCTTTCAGGCCCTGGAGCAGGAAAATAGTTTAGAAAAGAGCAAACCTGCTTTTTTTTTCCCCAGAGCCCATGAACACAGAAGCTGAGGATTCTCACACTCTCATGGAAGTTGTATCAAATAACAGCTGCATTTTTTATGAACATCTTGTGACAAAGACTATGACTTTACAAAAATCACGCAGACATGTACAAATTATCCTGCTATATCCAAGAGCTAGCAAAAGAGGCTGCCATTAGAAAACGAAATGATGTTTTGCTTGAATGGTCACATATCGTACATGTTCAGCATGGAGGGGTGGTTGGCTGGTTTTAATCCCATTTTGTCCAAGTTTTCCTATTTGGTAGGAGATGTCCTTGTCTTCATCTGTCACCTGTAGGACATGGCAGCCCAAAGGGGGCTGGGTTTTTTTGGGTAGCAATGGCACTGAGGGTTCCTCCTGCACCCTGGGGCACGGCTCAGCTTGGAAGACAAGGTTGCAAAATACAGTTCACATCTGTAATTGCTAAGGTCATTTTTCCTGCATTTTTCCTGCATTTCTTCCCATGTCAAATGGACTGAAGCCATTTCACACCATTCAAAAGTCACTTAGTGCTCTATTTTTTTAAAAAAATCATGTTTAATAGAGGAGATTTTTAAGTTAGACACTGTCAAGAATTATTGCATTTGCTATCTAGTCACTAATATTTTGTTGCTGGTTTTTTAGGGGATGTGAGGTCTGGTGCTGAGCAGGTTCTCCTTGGCTTTCAAGACTTCCTTCTTTTGTTTCTTGGATTTTTGGGGGGTTTTGGGTTGTTGGTGGTTTTGGGTTGCTCTTTTTTTTTTTCTATATTCTGGTCATAAAAAGGCTGGGGCAGAGAGGGGAGGAAGAAACAAAAATCCAGAAGTCCTGGCCTATGGTTTATTGAAGTTGTTTGGGGTTTTGCGGCTCATTGGTACAGCTTTGCCTGTGTTCCTCAGTGCTGTTTCTAGACCAAAGAGTAACTTTTTTCACCATTTCCCTGTAAGGATGTTTCAGAGCCTTTTTTGTCCAGGAAAACAGGAGGTTTAGACTGTCACCAAGTGCCACCAGCAAGCTCACCTGCTCGCTTATGTGCGTTGTGACCAGCAGCTACAAAATCTGCTGGAATGGGAGAAAAGGCCACCGGGAGCTGGAGTGATGCCATTTTGGGGTGGGATCCCTTCAGAGTGGTCGAGCCAGGCTCGAGGTCCTGTGGAAGGACCTCCCCAGGAGGGATCCGTTGTGTGGAGCATCTTGGTTCAAACTCTGATGTCTGGTGGGAGGTTTTAAATGAAACCTGCCAATAATTTCCTAGGCTGGGGCGCTCTGGTGCTTCTCACCAGCTTAAACGTATCTTGAACTGGCACAATTTTGGTGTTTTTAGAGAGACATGGGTTCCTCTTGGCATGCCTGGTTTGTTTATAGAGCAGATTCTAAGCAATACTGTTAACTGGTATCTGTTTTAAGTTGATTTGTTCGGCACTACCAGGCTGTCCTTGGCTGGTCCCACTCATCCTGCCCAGTTGGGTTTCTCTGAGGCGGGGGGTTGCAAGTGGGTCCAAGGAGGTCAAGGTCCCACTCGGCGCCTGCTCGGTCCCTCCAGCTCTAAGGGAGCTCTTGCTGAAAGAAAAGAGGAGATCCTTCTCTACCCATGGTCTGCCATCCGCACGGACAAGGCTTCCTTCAGGTCCCTGAGTGGAGAAGTTACGTTTCTGTAAAGCATATTTTAATTTCAGTCATTTCCACAGATCCAGAATGGATCTGCGTTTGCCAGGGCAGACCCCTTTCCTCCTCCAGCAGAGGTTGGTGGTTGTCAGGGTTGGAAGAGGTCTTGGGCTTGGCTGTCGTGGTGTCATCCCTGGCCTCCTCCTAGGCTGTCACCTTGGTCCCGTCTCGGTGCCGTAGCCTCCTCCTGCCCCACGCCAGGCAGAGATCTCCTTGGCCTGATGCTGGGTTTGGACGAAGCCGACGCACGGAGGTCCTGGAGGTCCTCGCCTGGGAGCGTCGCGGCTCTGCGGGGCGCGGGGAGGCTGCGGGGTGCAGAGCAGACGTGGCGGTGCCGTTTGCTGGAAGAGCAGGGGAAGGCAGCCAGCCCCTGGGCGCTCGGGAGCGGCGGCAGGTTTGCGGCTGTGGCGTTGGACTTAATGCACCAAACATCTGTTTGGACGGTGGAAGCGGAGGGATGAGCACGATTGGCAGGGAAGGGTCTTGCCGGAGCATCACCGGCCCCCTCTGCGCTCCATACCATTGTGCTCCTCTAAGGATGCCTTCACCTCTAATCTCCTAAATTTTAACTGTGTGTGATCATCCGAGCAGAGCGATTGAAACAAATCCGAGAGCAGTAGCAGAAATAAAACCGCTCTGGGCAAGAGAGAAGTAAGCAAAGTGAGGCCCCACCCTCTTTCCCAGAAAAAAGCACCAAACATGCTCAATAAATGCGAAGGTAATTTAAAATCTGAATCCAGGAGACAATGTGACTAGGATTTCATTACTTAAGCAAATGGATTTGCTTTTAGTGGATTCAGCCACAGACTGAAAGAAGCTTTCCCCAAGGGGTAAACATTTTTCCTGCATTTGAAAGGCTTTCTTGTATGGAGGGGTGGGGGGGAAAATCAGGACTGTGGCTGCCCAAGGAGCACCTTTATTTGGGGCAGATTTGGGCATTCCCAAAGCTGTCCTTTTGGGTGGGTGGTTTTGGGGAGCCCTTGGGGTGGGGTGGGGGGATGCTGGGGCAGGCGGGATGCGGGGGGGAGTGCTGGGGGATGCTCGCCGCGCCTTCCTCCCGGCTGCAGGAGTTAACCAGCAGCAGTGCCAGCTCTGCAGACTGTTTGGAATAGTTTAAATGCTTTGACACTCTGGATGTACTAGATGGCAGGGGAGGCAGTTTACAGCGTAATTCATATGCAAAACTGCACTATAAATTTAAAACCTGTCTCAGTTGCCGTGGCACCACTAAGCATTTCATCAGCATACAGTACAGTATTTCTGCCATCTTTGTTTGCATTGCAGTGACTCATCAAAAGTCTGTCTTGTACCAACACTGAGAGCATTCCTCTGGCACTGATATTTCTCTGTTTTTAAAGCTTCGGTTTGAAACTGGCATTTACTTCAGGTCCCTAATCAAAGGGCTCTATTCATTGCAGAGAGCAGCCTGAATGTTAATCTGCATCCGGCCTATTCATTTAGATGCTGTGCGCTGCCGGGGAGATTTGACTTGGTAAAAGCTTGAGCTACAGCAGATACAAACCCAGGGTTTGATACTATATATTTTTTTTTTTTTTTTTTTTTTTTCCCCTCCCCTGAGTGATCGTCGTCGCTGCGTATAGCGTGGCGGCCGGGGCGATACGGAGGGACGCAGACCCCTCTGGCGAGCGGCCGCGCTGGGGACGGGCGCTGCTGAAGGTATGTTTGCTCCCAGCCAGGCGAGGGGACCGGGAACTTCCTCGCTCGGAAGAATTTTTTTTAACCATGCAGATACAATTAAATTGGCTCCGAGTGTGTTCCCTTTTCTTCCTGTTACCCCGTGGCCTTGCAGATAGGACTTTTTTTTTTTTTTTTTCTTCCCAGCAATGGGAACAGAGCAGCTCTTTGTGGGTTATTATTTTCTTTTCAGAGATTTTTTTTTTTAATCTTTCTCAGATAAACTTCTTTTTTTTTTTTTCCCTTTTTTTTTTTTTTAATGTTGTTCTTACGAGCTTTCAGTACTAGTTAACCGTAGTTTTTCTTCAGTCGCATTGAAGGCAAAGAGGATTTTAAACCTCCTGGACTCTTGCATGGAGCTCGGGGAGGGGGGACGGGGGGGGTTTGGGCTCCAGCTCGTGTCGGTGAATCCGCAGTGATTTGCTTTGCTGGAGTTTCAGTGCACGGGCTGCACTGGCGCTACCTGCTCCGCCGTTGCACGGGGTTTGTGCATGAGGTCCCTCCAAACGCAAGGCTTTATTTGCTCGGTGAAAGGAGGAATTATCCCCACGGCCAAAAGGTACAGCTGGCCTTAAAGAGCGGCCGCGGCGGGATGCAGAGCCGGAGCCGTCGCCTCCAGCCCATTTCGTGTGAGGTTGCTCGGAGGGTCCCCGATGCCACTCGGCTGGGGACGGTACCCCCGGCCGGGGCGATGGGCTGGGGGGGGCCGGGGGCTCCGGCCACAGGAGGGGCTGGGCTGGGGTTCCCCCTGCCCCACTTTGGATTTCGGGGAGAAAAATAAGACGACAACTTGGTAGGCGGCTTGCTGCGGCACATTGGTTTATTTTATTGGGGCTCAAATATCTGGCTTAATTTGGAGATAAGCCTCGTTTTGTTGAAGGATAAATCTGTTGAGAAGGGGTTTAACTGTTGAAATGCTCCCTCTTTCTGGTGCAAATGGGAAGATTGCTTTTCAAAGTGCTTTTTCCTGGGAGCTGTCGCTCCAGCAGAATCCTGTATTTATTTCAGGCAGAATGGCACATTGTTTTATAAATATCTTTTCTGTAGTTCCAACATAGCTGCTGGTTTTTGTGTTTCTTATATAATGCTACCCGAGATCTCTCTGACTATCTGACTAAGCTAATGGTTGGGCCGGATGATCTTAAAGGTCTTTTCCAGCTTAAATGATTCTGTGATTCTGTCCTATGCTGTCTTTACTGTTCACTCCTCTCCCATTACCGTTCAGATTTTCCTGCATCAAGTAAAGCCCCTGGGGGAATAGATCAGTGGTGCTTATTTAAACAGACCACAACTTGAAGAAAATACTTGCATTTTTGGAATATCCCTTGCCATCCACCAATAGCATTTCCAACGTTGTTTGAAAACACGGTTAAGTAATTTTTATCAGCGGTTGCTTTTCCGCACCGGCTCTCAGAGCGTGGCTTGGAGCCTTTGATGTTGGGTGAGGTGGGTTCTTCTGCTTCTGCCTGCCTTGGTGAACTGTCTAAAAACGCTGTGCCTCTCTCCCTGCCTTCTCCCTTTTTTCAGATGTGCCCTACTTTGGATATTCCTGCATTGAATGTCTGAGGAGCTCCAGCCGATCCTGAGCCATGTCGCAGATGTTGCACATAGAGATTCCCAACTTTGGGAACACCGTTCTGGGCTGCCTGAACGAGCAGCGGCTGCTGGGGCTCTACTGCGATGTCTCCATCGTGGTGAAGGGCCAAGCCTTCAAGGCACACCGGGCGGTCCTGGCCGCCAGCAGCCTCTACTTCCGAGACTTGTTCAGTGGGAACAGCAAAAACGCCTTTGAGCTGCCGGGTACCGTCCCCCCCGCTTGCTTCCAGCAGATCCTCTCCTTCTGCTACACCGGGAAGCTGACCATGGCGGCGAGCGAGCAGCTGGTGGTGATGTACACGGCGGGCTTCCTGCAGATCCAGCACATCGTGGAGAAAGGGACGGACTTGATGTTCAAGGTCAGCTCTCCCCACTGTGACTCTCAGACCACCATGATCGAAGACCCCAGCTCGGAGCCGCAGAGCCCTTGCAACCAGCTGCAGTCGGCCTCGGCGCCCTACGTCATGTCCCCCTCCATGCCCATCCCGCTCCTCACGCGCGTCAAACACGAGAACCTCGAGCTGCAGGCGGCTGCCCTGCCCGGCCTGCCCGGCAAGCGACCCCTCGAGCCCGGCGCCCGGGAGGGGGCCGGCGGCGGCGGCTCCAACGCCGGTCCCCTGAAGCTCTCCCGCGTCTCCTACTATGGGATGCCCAACCTGGCCACCCTCATCCCCAACGTCCAGCAGGTCCAGTACTCGCAGGGGGAGCGGACGAGCCCCAGCGCCAGCAGCATTCCCACCACCGACAGCCCCACCTCCTACCACAACGAGGAGGATGAGGAGGACGACGAGGCGTACGACACCATGGTGGAGGAGCAGTACGGGCAGATGTACATCAAGTCCTCGGGAGGCTACTCCGGTAATGGACAGTCTCCGTGGGTTTTCTGCTCTCCTTCAGTGGTCGCTTGGTCCTCCTCCGGCTAGCACGGGTAGTTTTGGGCCTGTTCGTCAGGCTTTTGTCTTCAGGGGCTCCGTTTGTTTATTTACGTAGCGCGGTGCACGTGGTGGGCTGGGTGCTGGTGTCCCAGTATGGCATGGGCAGGTCCCCTCGTGCCATCGCTCCTGAGCCGTGTCCCCAGCGGAGCGGCTCGTTAGATAAGTGAGGCTGCATCACCCACCACGTTTCGGCTTTTTGGCTGAGGCTGCCGACGGGCAGCCCGGTGGTGACACGAGCCGTGGGGCGGTGGTGACACCGTCCCGTGGTGATGGCTGAGCTCCCCTGCCGTGGGTCATCCGGGCAGGATGGTCATCCGTGGGGAGGGCAGCGTCGGCCCTCGCCAGCCGTGCGGCGGCGGGGTGGTCGGTCTGGGAGTTAGCCTTCAGCGAGGTGCGAGGCACGTTCCCTCTGTCCTGGCTTTTTAGAATAAAATTTTTTAAAAAGCCATGAACATATGACATTTGGGGGAAGGCAGAAAAACGTCAAATAAACCGTTTACATAGATGTTGCTAATTGGGAATATCCGCAGGAAGAATAAAAGAAGGGCTTTTATGCCCAATGCCTGCAGAGGCCCGCCCCCTTTCCTTTGCCAGCCTTGCCCAGCGCATCGCTGTCAAAAAGGGAAAAGCAATTTGTGGGTCTCTTGATAATATTTTATTCCCCTACCAGGTGAGTCCCTGAGCATGCCTTAGACAGGGGAGGTGGCTTCACTTCGGTGATGCCCACCCAGGAGCTGCCGCCTGAGCCCCGGGGCGGGCGCAGGGGCACGAGGCCCCTTCCCTCTCGCTTCCCGTGCAGGAGAGGACTTCTTGGGGCACCCCCGGCGCCTTGCAGGGCTTGGACCCCGTTGAGGAGCCAAGGACAGGCTGGGGGTGCAGAGCTGGGGGCTCAGGACCAGAGGGGGAGATGCCCGGCTGGGTCGCTGGCGTGCCCGCATGCCGGTTGGCAGCATCCCGGTCGGATGACGCTCGCGGCATCCCGGTCGGTGGCTCGGCCGTAGCGCAGTGACCTCCCCGTCAGAGCTGCAGGTGTTTGTGGCAGCAGCTTTGATCTGCAGGTGCTCCCCGGGGAGGGACATCTTCCCGCCGGCGCTGGCTGCACAGAGCATCCTCTTGCCTGGAGCCGCTTTCCCCGCTGTGGTTCTGCTCTGAAATTGCTGGACTAATTTTGCAAGTATTTAGCTCTCGTTTGTTGAAGAGCTGGCGTGCTTTCCTCAAAGACATTTGATTTTATTCTCAAGCAAGGGAGAAGACTTGACAAATATGACCATTTCTGTTGCCTAAAGCCAGGCTTTCCCTAGTACTGAGAACAGGCTCGTCCCCATATGCTGTCCCATTGCATCCCAAAGAGCAGGAGCCCAGTGTCCCCTTGGCTTGTCCCCCTGCCAGGTAGCAAGCAGATAAGCAGTATTTTCCATGCATTTTCAACAAGCCATTTGCAAAAGGGGGGAAAGCACACTGGTAGCAATGTTACTATTTTAATATTAGAACTATTTGCTGAGAAATGCGGACAAGCCAGTTGTAGAAAATGAGCCTTAAAAGCCTGTCTGCTCTCTGCCGGGCTTCAAGTCCCAGCAGTTGGTACCGGGCAGGTGAGGAGGAGTGGGATCCAGGGATGGGGACAAGGTCGGGGTCTCCTCCATGGCCACCCAGCAGGCAGGAGCAGGACCCTGTGCCCCAGCTGCTGTTAGAGTCAGACCAAAGAGAAATCAGGCTGTTTTCCCCCACACTGGTTTTGTTTTTATTTTCCTTTGCGCTTCCCTGCTGCAGAGCATGCGGTGAGTAATGTGGGTTTGCCTTCAGCGCCGGGGCTCGCAGCATTATTCCTCAGAGCGATGGGATTATACCCTTGGACACGGTGTTTTCCTTCCCTGTCACGGGGCCAGTTCATGCAGTAACAGAACAAAATAAATTCAGAAGGCGAGGGCAGGACCAGCCCTGGGATGGCGCAGGCAGCAGCTATTGGGCTGTACCTAATTCTTGTGGTGTGGTAGAGTCGTCCCAGTTGGAAAAGTGAAAATATGAGCAGCTTTCTCGGGTGTCACTGGAGATGGTGCAGCCATCCAGCCCTCGCGCCCGAGCCGGCCATCCCACAGTGAAGTTTTCCTGCTTGGTTTCTATAGGGGGAAGACGTGAACCATGTCGTGATGCTGAGGGAGGAGGCAGGTTGGGAGCACGGTTCTGCCTGGTCCTGCCATAAGGTTCTAATATACCACATTTCTACTAAAATACCTCTTCCACACCAGCACATTTCAAGGGAGTTTCCTGTTTTAAATAAGCCAGCTATAGTATCAGGCTTCCTGGAAAAGAGGGCACACAAAAAGGAGATTAAAAAAAATAAAACCTAAGCTATTCCATTATGGTTTGGACTTGTAGAGCTAAATGTGTTTTAATTACTCGGGATAAACTGTACCCTCAAAAGGTGCAGAATAATAAAACCATAAGATGGAAGAGAGAAAGCCAGCTAATCCTGCTCCTGGCATGTAGATCCCGACAGCCTTACAAAGGCCTGGGGGAGGGGGGAGCCCTTTAAAATAGTGATTGCCAAGGTTTCTAAGAGCCCTGTTTGTAAAAACAAAAACAAAGCCAAAGAAGAGCACAGCAGATGAAGCCCTGAATTTCACAGAGGGCTTTTTTTCTTCCCCTCCTTTTTCTCCACTTTTTCCATCCCCAGCTAAAGCATCGACTGAGCTAATGCTGGCGAGAATGTGGTGGGATGCTGGTGGCTGATGTTCTTGCCTTGAGCATCACCACCCACTGCTCCCAAGGCCGTGGGGCAGGGGATGGTGCTCGGGGGGGTGGGGGTGGGGGTCACAAAGCCTCTTCTTACCCCAAGGCTGCGTTTTTTTAATTTATTTTTGTTCACCCCTTTTTATAGTCAGGACCAGGCTGTATCTCCCCAGCTGGGATCAGAGAGACAAGGAGCACATCATCACTTTGGCCAAGGGTTTGATGGTGGTGGAGGGAGCGAGGAGAAGGTTTTGTTAAGTGATGTGCCTCCTGCAGCGGTGTCACTGGCGTGGCAGACCAGGACAAGCGTTGGACCTGCGAAAGAAGCAGCGGCTAAACGAAAGGATAAGCCCGGTCTTAAACATGGGTCGATGGGAGGGTTAGGCTTAGGTGTGGGCAGACAGGGTGGCAGCTTGCAGAGGGCTGTAGGAAGAGGTGCCTCGGCTCCCACTGGCCTTTGGCCACCTTTGGTGGCCACAGTGTCACCGCTGCCGTCCCCGCGCCCGCCCGCTGCTGTAGCAGGCCGGCAGCATCGCGGTAAAATGGCTCCTTATTCTGTAACTAGGTCTGGTTGCGAAGAACATGCGGGCCTTGAGGACACGAGTGAGGCTTGATGAGGTTTCTAGCATCTGATCTGAGGAGTGCACAACTCCAGAAATTATTAAACAAAAGCAAAGTATTTTTATCCTTGTTAATTACAGTGTCGTGGGCCTGATCTGAAGTGGGTTTCAGCAGGACTTGCAGATGCTCGGCGTTTTTCTGCACTGAACCGCGTTCTTGTCAGTCAGCTTGCTGCTTAGCAGATGCAGTTAATTTAATTTTGACAGGCGCAAGCGAAGTTGTGCGAGGGTCCGTCCTCCTCCCCTGCGCCTGCTGCGCCAGTTTGCAGGGGAGAGGAACAGTCTTTATGCAGCAAATGGCTGGAATGTAAAGGCCGGACTTGAAAGTTATGAAATCCCGAACTGACAAGAGCGCACTTCATTAAAAATTCATCTAAAATAGCCATTATAGAATAGTTGTGGTAATTAGCTGAGAGAATAGTTTTCTCTCCCGGCCTTTGATTCCGGACAGTAAGGAAAGAGGGCAAGAAACAACCCAGAATCTGTAATGAGCGGCTCCGGCACAGCCCGTGCAGCATCCCAGACCGAGCCTGGGAACGACACACTGCGACGATTTAAATCACGGCTCGTGACGCCAGATAATTGCAGCCGTAATGAAGTAGCTGGTTTTAACTGCGGTGAGCTGAGCCTGCGAGAACCAGGGCCGTGTGGCGGCCGGGCTGACGCTGCTGCGCACGGAGGGCTGCTCACGAGCCAAGAGTTTTTAGGAAATAAAAAAGCTAGCGGGTTTTTAGGAAATAAAGCGGGCCGGGGAGGATGCCCCGTTTAGTCACCGGAGCGTTTTGCCTTTGGGTTTTTGTTGAGGGTTTCAAACAGCCCCGCTGCTGGAAGTGCAGCCGGCCAGCACCGGCATCGCCCGTCCCGGCGCGGGGAGCGGTGCTGGCCGCGGCGCTGAGCAGCCGGAGGAGGGCAGAGCCCCACGCTGGGGGGGCGCAGCCTCTGCCCTTTTTTGGCGTTAAAACTTCCAGTCCCGGTTTCCTCACCGTAAAACGCAGATGTTTAATTTTAGGCTGGCAGATGTTTCACTCCTGGCTGAGATCTGAAGCGAAGGCAAGATAGGGGTATTTATAAACCAGTAATATTTTTCCTATACTAATTCCAGATTACCTCCCTGTATAAATAGGTCACAAATCAAATCTCTGCGTTCCAGTATGATGTTATAAATTGTACTAGTTGTAAAACGTAAACTATCCCAGTTGGGGCTAGATCATGTATCTGTCCCACAGTGCGTGCGTGTGTCCTGTGTGATCCAGGTTTACGTAGGCAGGCAGACGCTGGCGATGCCGGGGCTGCGGCAGGGATGCTATTTTTGGGGTAGTCCCACTGCCAGTGGAAAATAGGCTAATGGGATAAAAACGTTTGTAAAACATTGCTGTTTGAAAAGAAACTTCTCACCGGGTAGAGAACAGGAGAGAATTACCCGTGTGTTTGCCTACATGGTGGCTGGTGGTAGAGCAGGTGAAGATGGTTTTGTAACCGTTGTGGCGGACCAGACTTTTGGTTTCATGTTGGGGCTCTGTAAACGTTAACATTTGGGTGAGGGTCCATCACTCTGATCTTTCTGTATCTCAAAATCCCGTTCTTAAAACAGAAATAGGTTTTTTTCTTACCCATGGGAGTGTGTTGAAGTTTATATGCAGTAAGTGGTCAAGAGGAGAACCCAGACTGATGGGAACTGAGGGTTCATGAGTAATTTTGAAGCCCTGGTGTCAGGAACTAAGGAAGCAAGTGAGTACTGGCACCGGGTGGGTGACCAGCAATTCCCAGTGTTGCCAGACCCCAGCCACTTGCCCAAGCAGCTTGTTGGCCATCACCAATGAGGGTCAACAGGAGCTGTGTGGGCTCAGCATCTCAGGTCCCAGGCACCTCAGGCGGGACGTGTAACTGTTCTGGTGTCACCAAAACCGTCGTGGGCTCAGCAAGAGGGTGGTGTAAGGGACCTCTGAGCCAGACGGTACGTTTTAGGGACACGGAGGACACGTGCCCCCAGCATCGTTCAAAGCCTGGAGCCGTGGAGCACCGGTAATTCCCGCAACTCCAGCTTTCCTCCAAGCAGGGACTGGTGAGTTGGTTTGAGGTTGCTTCTTCAGCCAGAAAGCCTGGGATATTTCCCATTCTGGACCACTTGTTGCTAGCTGCAGCGTCCATGTAAGTTTGAGATGAAAGCATATATCTGAATAAATAAAATACACCAGCGTTCAGCTGGCAGCTCTCATTGCTTCCTCTGTAATGATTTCCTGCCCCTCTCCGCTAGCTGGTAGGCTCCTTTCTTGGTCGAGAACAAAACTGTATTAAACAATACTTCACATTGTTTGCCCTTTCATTCAAAGGGAAGGAGCCACTGCCCTCTGAAGATACAAATTAATTAGAAGCAAATACTGTCCTGTTCTTCAGAGCATAAAGGCCAAACAGAGTGGCTTTCTTTGAAAACATGGGACCAAAGTGTCTTCTCTTGTATCCTGGTTCTTTACATAACCGATTGCTATCTGCTGAATTGAGGTGGCACTGAAAGGCCTAAATCTTCGGTCGTTTTTGTTTAGTATCGGTGAGTTTGTGCTAATGCTTTAAGGGAAACAAAGTCCAAAAAATGATTCATGCCCATGTTTAATAAGAGATTTATAGACAGTGAGCCGGCAGGACAGATGTAACAGAAATAGAATAGTGCCTTGAATTGTGCTTGGTCTTTTTAGCCTGAATTTTAGTTTGTTTTATGAAATATTTGATTTCACAGGAAGAAATGTAAACTTCTCGATGGCTCCATGTGTAGGAAGTGAAATGTCTTCAAAAGCAAAGAAATTCTTCAAGGCAGGATTGTCACCAACCAGCGCAGCAGCGTTGTCTTCCTGAAAAGCTGCTTTTCTTTCAGGAAACAGGTTTGACACCAGATCCTTCAAAATTTCTCCAGGAAGGTAGCATGAACACAGTGCTTATACTGATCTTTCTCTTGCCTGCCTCACTATTGCAGCCTTAGGAACTCTTTGGCCCCAAAATTGGTTTTTATTGAATGTTTGCCTATGGAAAGTGGTAGAGCAGGTAGGTTTGTCCTTGTCCGCTGTAGCTGTTTGCCACTTGGATGTTGTAGGTGTTTAATTTCTTCAGTGACAGTGGTCCTGATGAAGAAGCGGGCAGGAGGAAGGCATGGCTGATGGCCCTTCAGGTCAGTTCTCTTCTGTTCCCGTTACAGCAATATTGGGTCACAAGCTGTGAGGACCTTCTCCCGCCTCCCCTGCTTTGAACTCCATCTCATTTGGGGTATTGATTGCAACTACTTTCCCTAGAGACCTGCAACCTTTATATCGCTTAAAAAAAAAAACCTGAAGGCCTCTAAGAAACTTTCTAAGGATCCGTATCAGCCTGCCCAGCTTCCCTTCAGCAGCTTAACATCCGCCAGTTTTTTGGTGGTGATGAATGTCATGGGTGCTTTTGACCTGAGTCATTAGTTAAAGGTAAAAATGAGATATTAAAAATGCAGTTTTACACAACCTGGGTGGAGCACTGTGCTTGTTGGGGGGCCGCAGTGGTTTTCCTGTTACTGCCGGGCAGCTGAAGCAGTGGCTCCATGGAGCGTCTGGCTCTGCGGAGCGGCTCACCCTAACGAGCTGCCAGCAATTAGCAGGAGCCCTGTGCATGGGCACAGCCTCATCCTCACCTGTCCTGTCACCTCACGGCTCAGGGATGTGCACTTAGCACAAAAAGCTGTTGCCAAATTCGCTGTTACCCCTAATAACATCATTCACCTGTCTTTTGTTGCTGCTCTTGAGGACCTTGGATGTCCCAGTCTGATTTCTGGGATTTATCGATGGAACGATAGCTCATATGTGGTTTATATATAATTTTACCTTTTAGTTCAGCCTGTGCGTATCCTACAGAGGACTCTGGGTGGGAGTTGACTGCGGTGGACATTCCTGCAGCCTCCTCTCCCCTTGAGATTCACATTTATTTTGCAGTGGCCCTTGTGCCGTAGCCTGCCTTGGTGAGCGTTCCTTGCCTGTGGAGGACAGCAGAGCGGGCCCTCCCTGGGTGTTGGTTCCCCCATGCCCAGTGCCTTTTGATTTGCTTAAGCTGGAAAATAATTAGTATTTAATTGAATATACTCTGCTTATCACTCTTAAAGCATCAGAAATATAGGAGGTCTTTGAGGTGCTTCCTCTGTGGGAGCAGAAGATGACTCCCAGCTCCAAGGAGAGGGTGCCTGGGTGCTTGGGAGCTCTATTAAACAGGGAAATACTGCAGCTGGTGAAAATTCTGTATGTCGGTGGGACTGCACATCAGCACAACAAAGCCCTGCCACTTCGCATCGATAATTGGGCTGTGATGGCAAGAGAAGTTAGTTTAAAAACATCACGTGAATTGTTCTGCCGCTGGTTGGTCCTTAATCACTGAAGGAAACGCTGCTGTGCCGCGGGGCGGCTCCACGGGCAAGGGGCATCCTCCTGGTATTCCGAACTTTTAGGGAAGGAGGGAGCAATGAGGGAGGGATGCCTCCAGCCCTGTGCCTGCGATAGGATGCCACGGCACAGCACGGCGTTGCGGGGCATGTCCTAGTTAGAACACTGCTCCCATTGTACCGGAGCCATCGCCCTTTGGTTACTGCAGCAACAAGTCTGCAAAACTTGTTATTTTATCTAGAGAGAGGAAAAGTGGCCCCCAGAACACCAAAATAATTGCAGGAAAAGCCACCTCTGGAGTAGGAGACATTTTGAGTTCAGAAATGCTAATTGCTAGGATTTTTTTTCTTCTCTCTGTATTCACAGATATTGAAGCGCAGAGCTGGGTTGGATTTTATGCGTGGCACTTGCCACATTATCAAACAGTTTGGGGAAAAAAAAAATGGTATCATTGTAGAGCTGGGCTGCAATTCAGAACTGTAACTGCTCCCACCATGTCCCAGTGCAGCTGGAGTTGATTACACCCATGTCAGCCCTCTTTTGCTGTCAAAAATGGTAATTTTAAGCAAGCCCGTGGACTTGCACTGTAAATGTGCTTTAGGAAGAGAATCCTCTGTACGCCCACAAGTCGCAGACTTGCGCGGTGCTGGTAGGACAGCTCGGCACTTCCAGCTTTCCAGCGTTAATGGTTGTTAAGGGGCAGTGGTGGGCTGCAGGGTTGGTACGGTGGGGCACAGCTGTGTCCTGGCAAACCCCAGTAATGTGGTTTTGTAGTCACAGGTTAATAACATTTTTTGGCTTAGTTGGTTGGGGTCTCTCTTGTTACGGAGCAGAAAGGTTACCCTGCAAAAGGCAGAGTAAGGGATGGTGCTTCAGAGGGTGAGTTGGAGCTTGCAGGAGGTGGCTGGGGGAGGCTACGGTGACCTTTCTTGGTGCAGTGGGTATCTGCAGAGTCTGGCTTTTAACTTCAGCAGGAAAAACATCAAGAGAGGTAGTTATGGTACGGATGCAGGTATTTTTCAAACTCGGGCAATTTAGAGCCTGTTTCAGAAACCGCTGGTGAAGTAACCTGACGTTCTTACGGGAGTGTTTGGGGAAGCCAGCTCCATATGCTGCACTTGCAGAACGATGCCAGCTGTGCAGAGTTGCCCATTTTCATAAATGATTAACTTAGGAAAAGTTAAAGCGTAATTACATTCTAAGAATCCCTCTCACAGAACCCGAACGCACATACGAGACTGCTGTGGTAGGTGATGGGGGAGACTGGGGGAGCTTTCCATGCTTTCAGGTGGCACCTGCCCTGAGGCCGATAGCCCTGGTGAAGGCTTGTACTTCTGGAGGGAGGAATATTTCCAGCTCCGTGAAAAAGTCAAAATCTGACTTTCTGCTAATGCTGTGCCTGCGTAATAAACTGTTTTAATGGTTTTCCCTTTCAATTTTTAAGTTGCTCAAGAGAAGCCAGAGCAGATCCCACTGGAGAACCGCTCCTGTGTCCTCATACGACGGGATCTAGTTGCTCTCCCAGCCAGTCTTATCAGTCAAATCGGATACCGTTGCCACCCAAAACTCTACTCGGAGGGAGATCCTGGAGAAAAACTTGAGCTCGTTGCAGGTAACAAGGGGGTAACTTTTCTTTGCTTGAGAATGCGTGGAGATGGCTGATGTCTTCCTTCTTGAAATGTGTTCTTCATCTTTCTTGCACCATTGCTGGAGTCATACATCTTGTGTACCCTTGCTGTGTCTTTCTGGATTATTCATCACCAATCATCTTTTAAAAAGTTCTAAGTTTCCTTTAATTTGTTGATAGAAAAATGTGTCATTAACAGGATTTATTCAATTGAATTAATTTAGCATTTTAATTTAATTCTCCAGCTTGTGTTCTTCCTGATTGGTGTGGGCTGCATTGCAATTGTGTTTTGATTTAGATGCACAGATCTATAAAAAAAAAAACAAAACACCAAACAACCCACTGCATTATAAGATCTGCAAAGCAATGGAGATAAAATTTGTGTCAGTGAACAAGCTTTGAAAAACCTGTTTTTTTAGAATTGGAGGTGTTACTAAACAGTCAAATGCTGCAGTAGGAAGGAAGAGAGGGAATTGGTTTTGGTCCTATCTTTATTTTCATTTTGAGGGGAATTTGCAATATTGGGAGAATTCACTACTTCTCTGTGAAGGATTTATGGCCAACCTGAGGTGGAAGATGGTGCTGTTTAGCTTTTACACTGGTGCTGTAGAGCCGGATAAAGAGTGAAATCCAGTGGCCGTGCCAGCCTGCAGCCCAGGTATCCCGAGCACAGCACAGAAGACGTATGTTTGACTGGGGTGTCCAGCTCAAATTCCAGTTTATGTAATTATATTCTGCTTTTATAAGTTCTTCCCAGCTTCATTTTGCTGCAGTGGTCTTCTCAGCTCATGGACCGCGCTGTTGGGAAGTTTTTTCCCTTGGACATAGCTGTGCTTAGATGAAGGGATCTTTGCACGACAGCCCGTACCTGCTGCCCAGGCAGGGAGGTTGAATTAATACCCGTAAAGTCCTTGGTACAAAAAGGACATGTGGCAGTGCAATCAATCCAAATCAGTTGCCCTTTCTTGCTGGTCATTTATCTCTTGGTGAGTAGCATGATTTTATTTTCCGTCTGTAGAAGGAACCTGCATTTCAGGGGATGCCCAGAAAAGTTTCCATCTGATGGAGGATGGGTCTCTGATGGAAGACAGGAGTAAAACGTACACGCCACAGCACAGCATTACAACCACAAGCATTTATTTTGTATCTGGAATATTCATTTTGTACCCATTTACATTTTATGTGAGACTTCTTAAAACCATCAAGTGGTGCAGGTTATTTTCACAGTGAGAGCTGCCAATTGGCTTGAGGCAGCTCTGCTTGATTTACATTTTTCAATCTGGAAAAAAGGTAGATTAATATCACTAACCGATAGTGGCTGCCTCGGTTATTTTTGATTTATTAAAGTGAAGTTACCCTCGGTGGTGTCTGGCGTTCCCTCTGATGACTTATCTCTTAAAACACCTCTGCTGAAGAAAGCTAATTCCTGTCTCAAAGCTGGTGAGACCTGGGGGCCGCTTGACCCCAGCGCGCGCAGGAGGATCCTGCAGCGAAAGTTTTCCTCGACTCTCCCTTCGGAGCATTTTCCTTTTGTCTCTGATTTTTCATGCCGTGATTGATTCCGCAAAGTTCAGCAGCTCTCTCCGAGGGGGCCTTCCACAGCCTCGCGGTGGTCGTAGCCCATCTGCTGGGCAGATACCGTGCGGGGAAGAGAATGCACGGAAAATACGCGGCGAACACATGCGTGGAGGAGGATCCGTGGAAGATACGTGGCGAGAAGCAGGGGGGGGGCTCGGAGATCCGGAGTGATGCTTGCTGTTTTCTGGGGCAGGACCGGCTGGCCGTGGCGGCAGGGAAGGTGCCTCCCCCCCCACGCCCCCCGGGGAGGGGTCGGGCTCGGGCTCGGGGGGGTGCTGGGTGCCACTGGCGTGGGCTGCTCTGCAGCCCTGGCTTCATCCGGAAGATCAGGGACAACCATCTGCAGGCTTTTCTGGAAATCCAGGAGGTAATTTTATTTCTCCAGTAGATGTTTTTACATCTTGAGAACAAAGCGTGTTCTGGATCCAGATACGACCCATTATTTAATCTTAATTAAAAGCAAATACCAAAACCCTCTCGTATAACAGTACTCTTGAAAAATAGGCTAACCCCCCCCCTGCAAGCTGATGCTGAGGCAGGAGCAGTTTGGTCTGTGTGAGCTGTGTGCAAAGTGAAAGGGTTTGATAAGAAACCTGCTGTAAAGCACTGCAAAACCCCTGGACGTGTAAAGCTGCTTTGGCAGGGGCTCCTTTTTCTTCTAGAGAACATCCTTACAGGCGATGTATTTCAAAGTCAGCAGTTCCTGCGCATTAGGAGGAAAATTCCCTGCTCACCAGAAGTATCGAGAGGTGATGGGCTGGGGTTTTTGGAAACAGTTAGATCTGTAGTGTAACTGAGTAGCTTCTCTGTGCTACGCGGGGTTTTTTCTTTTCTTTCCAGCTATGTGTTCTACGATCTTCCACTTGAGAAAAGAAAAGGCCAAATGGATTGGGGTTTTCTTCCTTCAGAAAGAGTAAATAATCCGATCTGTGGATATAAAATCACAGAATGAAGCCTTGTCTTTGCCCAAAAAAAAAAAAAAAAAAAAGGAGTAATTTCGTTTCCATAGACTTCCTTTCTGTACGAATAAAATTATGAAATATTATTACCTGGGACTTGCCAAGGCCCTGAGGAACTGCAATAGCCATCTCTGCTAGGCTTTTCCAAAAGTCCTGCCATCCTTGCTGGGCTTTCATAGCAGCCCGTGAGGAGCGGGCTCCCTCCAGTGTCACCCTGGCGTCGGGACTGACCGGCGCAGCAGGAGCGGTTTGGTGGTGGCTCAGGGGCGGTGCTGTCAGCGAGGCAAGGGTGTAATTTTGAATTCTCCCTCTCCAACCCTTCCAGGCTCAGGTGTTTACATCACCCGGGGGCAGCTGATGAATTGCCACTTATGTGCCGGTGTCAAACACAAGGTCCTTCTGAGACGTCTTCTGGCCACCTTCTTTGATCGGTATGTCCTCTTGCTCTTTGTGCTTTCCCAAGGGATTTGGTTTATTTTCTGGTGTTTTAACCATGTTACCAGGTAATGTGTCTTGAGTGCTTCATCCTCTGTGTGTGCCGCGCTGCTGATTTCTGTGCTTTTTCTTAATGATGCGTGAACTTGAGCACCAGGTTTTCCACTTCCTTACCTTAAAATCGTGTAACGTGGTGATTTCTCCCTAAGGACCTAAAGGGGAAAGGACAAGGCAGTGGCTGGCCCCTGCAGTCCCCGCTCTAAGGCTCTTCCTTTGCCTTCCTTGTAGGAACACCCTTGCCAACAGTTGCGGAACTGGAATCCGGTCCTCCACGAGCGATCCCAGCAGGAAGCCCCTGGACAGCAGGGTCCTTAACGCAGTCAAATGTAAGGAGAGAGATTTACTGCTGCTCTGTTGGAACAGCATGCCGAGAGCAAAGCCGAAACCTAAGCAGGGAAGGCCGCCATCTCTGTTGTGTGATGATGGGAACTATAGGTGGTGAAATCAGGTTATAGGAAAATGAATTTATTTTTTATTTCGCATCGTTTAGGGGGGTTTGGTGGTATCTTAGTATAAAACATTGCTACTTGACTGGTTTGCTATATTTTAAAGCGCTAATTTTGCAGTTAATTATTTTATGGATAGGTGCTTTGAGAAGGAATTGGAAATTACGTTTTTGGCATCATTCAGAGCTTGATGCCGCTGGGACAGGCCGTCTCCATGTACCGGCTTTTATGCCGCCAGGCTCCGGCTCGCATTCGGCTTCCTCCGAGCGCAGGGCTCTGCCAAATCCCCTGGTTTACAGGAGCAGAGCATACAGCTCCAATCCATCTCGCAGAGCCACCCGCAGTGCCCCAGCACAGCCGCGCTCTGCAGGGCCCTGGGCTGTCGGGGTGTTGGTCTGCGGCAGGAATCCCCGATAATCAGGGAATGCACTGGCTGCTTCAGCCCTGGTAGCATGAGAGGATCTGCTCTCCATCTCGCTGGCAGCCATTCTGTTAGCATTGCAGTCTATTTCCTCGAATATATTTTGCAGACTCTTTTTTTCTTTTTTTTTTTTTTTTTTTTTAAATACGTAAAATGGGAACCCTGCTGCATATAATTGCCACTTTAAAAGATTGCGTGAAGCAACACGAGCTTTTGTTTTTGACGTTTGAACTGCAAACAAAGTTCTGCCTCGTGCCACAGGGCTCGGCCAGTCGGTCTGTCTCAGGGACAAGCTGCTGAGCTCTGTCTCAAGAGCCGGGGGTACAAAATGTTCAGGTGTTTCACACCCCTCCTGCTGTCCTGCAGGTAAGATCCCGTGTGTTTATGTGATTACACAGCACCCTAACTTTAGCCAGGGCTGGGATGGGCAGGGCTACCTGCTTCACTGTGCATATTTGTGACCAACGCCTGGTATTTATAGAAGGAAAGGAGAGTTTTATTATTTCCATCAAGGTGGCTTAATGATTTATGGCAGGCACCAGAAAAAAAAATGGTTAAATATTTGGCTCTTGCAGTCATCCTCAAATACAAGGAGCGTGCTGTGGGATGAAAGGGCCCCACTGGTGAGGGAGGACCTGGGTGGTGTAGAAAACGTGATGGGTTAGTGCAGCAAAGCTTGTTTACCATGGGCTTGATATACAGTGGAAAGCAATGTGTTCTCTCACCCTCACTGGATTCTGGATAGTAAATCTTTATGTAAATATTATTGCGCTGGAAAACGAAACTCTAAGCAATTTTTTTTTTTAATTTTTTTTTTTTTTTTTTAAGATTTAGAAGATAAATCTTTCCTCTCCCTAACTGTTGCTGTGCTGCTGAACTCCAGGGGCCTCCCAGCCACCCTCTGAGATCCGTAGCACATGGAGAGAAAGGCTAAGACAGCAGATGTCCAATACATAAAGACAAAATCACTAAACCGTGTTGTGGGCGCTTGCCCATAGCTTGTGCGTGGTGCTCTCCTGAGACAGCCACCCTGTTAGCAGCTTCTCCCTGGAGAGCCCTGGGTCTGGACCCTCCAGCCTTGCTCCTTGCTAAGGTTTGCAAAGACCTTCAGAGGTTGGAAAGGCATCGCTGCCCGGTGACAGTGCCTGCGACAGGCTGTCGTGTGTCAAGGCATAAGATGACTTCTTACTGCCTGAATTTTACCCTGTGCACAAGCTTTAGTTGATAATTATTCCCCATGGCAGCTCCTTGGATGTTGCTCCGTGCTTGGTGCAAACATCAGGTCCTGGTGTATCGGTGCAAACGTCGGGTGCTTGGCCCCCGTGGAGGAGCAGGGCTGCTGCTGGGGTATTGCTGGGCTTCTGCAGCTGGTGTGACGGTGGGGGGACGTTGGTGTAGCCGTGGTGGCCCAGGCAGTGCTAGTTGGCCCTGTGGTGGCTGGCGAGAGGCATGGGACAGGCGGAGGACTGTCCTTCGGGCGATCTCTTCTGCTCAGTGGAGAGCAGCTCTGACATTTTTCCAGCCCTGCAGCTGTGCCTGCACCGCCGGGGTTTTAAGAACCATTCATGGATCTACTGTTGAGGAGTTTGTGTTGGTCTTTTCTGTGCCCATCTCTGCTTTTGGCCATCCCAGCGTGCTGCGGCCGTGGGTGCCGCGCTCCGGCTGGGTCCTGCAGGCAGGAGCCTGGTACCTCTGCGGGGTTCCCAGGGAGAGAGCGGGCCTTCTCTAGCCCCTTTCCCCGTGCCACCTGGGATTTTTTTATGTCTTCTGGTTTTATCCCTTCTTGATTGTGGCTGTCTCGAGCTGAGGAGTCTGTAAGTCAGTCCTTGCGAGAGCTCTGGCCCATGGGTGAACCTCCACCCCATGGCATCTGCCCGTGCCAAGCCTTGCGGCAGGTCTCCAGGACGGGGCAGAGGCTTTGCATTGCTTTCTCTGAATCCTCAGCTATATGTATCCCTGTCTTTGCAGTGTATTGTCAGAATTTTGCCCCGAGCTTTAAGGAAAGCGAGATGAATGTTATAGCAGCCGATATGTGCACCAACGCCCGCCGGGTCCGCAAGCGCTGGCTGCCGAAGATTAAGTCCATGCTGCCAGAAGGGATGGAGATGTACCGCACGGTCATGGGCTCCACCACAAACAGTGTCCCCCTGGATCCTGAATTCCAGCCCAACACTGCTCAGGTCTTTGAGCAGCGAATCTATGCAGAAAGGAGGAGCGATTCAGGAACTATAGTAGCCTTGAGAACTAACACGGTGAACGTAGAGCTAAGCAATGGATCCAACCAGTCCTTCGAACAGAGCGAGGATGCTGAAGGGGCTGGCTCTGTGATACAGGAGGCAGCTGCCACAGATGCTATGGCATCGGATACCCAAAGCACTCCGCAACCTTTTGAACAAGGTTCCGGCTCCTCCAGCCGGCCCGAAACTCCCGTGAGAAGACAAGATGGTACTTACGGAGGGACTTTATAAAGAGAGCAAACGTTTCGTGACCTATAAGGGATCTGTAATACTAAAGCTGCTTGCATGCATTACTAATACAAAACAAAAAATGTGATCAAGCCACTTACCTACTGAACTGCTACTGTTGCCTGAAAAAAATGTGATTTTTATTCTGCTTGTATTTAAAATTTATGAAGGAAATAATCGCATTCGTTATACTGTAAACGACTAGGTCTGTGGCGACCTACTTAAAAAAAAATATTGGGCTCCTTTTTTGATATTCCTGAGGTTAGTCTATAAGATCGTAGCTTTTCCTTTTTTTTTTTTTTTTTTTCTTTTTTTCTTTTTTTTTTTTTTATTTTAAGAAGGGGAGGAGAAAAGCTAGCCACCCCCCCCCCAAACCACCACCACCCCCCTGTCATCACCACCCCATCCATTACTCAGCTCAGAAGTAAAGCCATCGATAACCTTGTCCTCTAAAGAAAGTTTTACCGTCACTTAACAGGAAAGCAAGGTGCGTTAGGGTACAAGTGCTGTGACTGGCGATGTTTGTCTCTAGCAGAAGGGCTCTAGCCAAGTGGGACAGGGTGGGGGAAATCGTTAAAGGCTTCTGGTGCCGGAGGGAGCCCCTCGCCGTGGGTGCCGCGGAGGCTGGCGGGGACTCGGAGCTCTTGTCTCGGGGAGTTTTATCCCGTTCCCAGGAGCTGGGATGGTTCCGCGGGAGTTCAGGCTTGCACGTGTCGGGAGGACTGCGTGGGATGCAGGTGGAGACCCTGGCCGGTGTTGTGGTTGTTGTCGATTTGTTGTGGGGTTTTTTTGGTTTTGTTTTGGTTTGTTTTTTTTTTTTTTCCACGCCCCCCCCCCCCCCCTCCCCCCCCAATACGGCTGGGTTTGGGGTTTGGTTTCTCTCTCCCTCCCTCCCAGCGACTCCTTTTTGTTCGCTTCTCCTTGCTTGCGCCTTCACGCCACCCGCTCCTCGCGCAAACGGGCTGGCGGCACCCCACGGCGACCGTCCTGGGGGGGCACCTCCCGGAGCTGGGGGGGGGGGAGTAACCCCCTCCGCCCCCCTCCAGCTGCCTGCCAAGGGCTTCGGGGGGGAATCTGAGCACGGAAAGCGCGTTGTTCTTGCTCCCAAGGGCACGGAGCCGGCAGCTCTTGGCATCAGCTCCTGGCAGCATCCGCACCGGAGGCAGAGGGCGGTGCAGCCGTCAGCGTGCGGGGCTCGCCTGCTGTCCGTCCCCCCCCCCCCCAACTCCTCCCCAGGCAACCGGGCTCTCACTTTTTAATAACTGGCGTGTATTGGATGCAAAAAAGTTTAAAAAAAAAATTTGCTTCGTGCCTTTCTGTGAAGAGATTTTGGGGAGGAAGAAGCGTTTCACCTCTTGCTCATCCTCCAGACAGGCCTTTCTGGGGAAAAGCCCAATGTTGAGTTATTTATCTTTTTTTTTTTTTTCTTTTTTTCCTTTGTCAGTGATGTTGAAAGCTTGCCGTCCCCAGGCTGCGTTGGCTTTGGTGGCCCCAGCTGGCCTCGATGGTGGGTGTGGGTGCTGGGGTGGGACCCATAGGTGCCCCTGGAGCCTGGCCGGGCAGCGGGTACCGGCTCACCCCCCGCTTGCCCTTAGAAATCCCCCCAAATGGCCGGAATCCTTTCGGCAGAGCCGACTCCCACCCAGCGTGGGTGCTGCCCATCACCCTGGGTGCTGCCGCCGGGCTGGGGGGAGCCGGGCACCCACAGGGATGCTGAGGCCGGGGTGCCCCCAGGGGATGGGGGGCAGGGACATGAAAGCCAAGTACGGCTTCTTTTCATTTCTTTTTTAATTATTATTTTTACTGTGACTGAACGGCCTGCTTTACTGGTATTTGCAGCTTGTTCTTTAACAAGTTTGGCGCTATGAGCAAGTGCACCCAGAGTCACCCTTGAAGGCTACTGGGGCTGTGCTCTTCTTTTCTTTCCTGCTTTGGTTCCTGAATCCAGACGGCGCTTTGCTCAGGGTTTTCTTCCTTCCTTGTATTTCCATTCGGAAAGGGGGAAGGGGGAGAGGATAACCCAACTTTTGGCCATTTTTTTTGTTTCTTCGATACTTGAAGCAGGTTTTTTTTTTTGCATCCTAATAACCAAGCTGTCCGGCGCTTAGTCTGTCCCACTGCTCCTTCCCCTGCCGGGGGGGGGAAGAGAATTCGATGCTGGGGTGGTTTCTGCCTCACGTCTTGCACAGGTCTCGGGTGTTGGCACGGCTTGGCCTGGGCAGATCGCGACGCCCCAGCCTGGGTGCCCCGCTGCCGGCGGAGGGGGGGGGGGGGCTGGTGGGGGTGACGGCGTGATGAGGCGGTGCAGGGGCGTGCGATGCTTGGAAGGGGTGGGGGCAAGCGTGGCCTGGGGGGGGGCTCTATTTGCACTTTACCCACGTCAGCAAACAGAACTCGTGCTCCTGCCGAAACCCGGCGCAGCTCATCCCCAGCCGGCAGCGCCACAGGAGGAGGCTCCTTCCGCGCGGTGATGCCCGTCGGTGCTTACCCGTGCCCACAAACACGGGGGGGGGGTGGGGGGGGGGGGTGTACCGGGGACCATTGGGCTGAGCTTGGGGTGGGCTTCTTCCCCACGCATCCCCGAGGAGATGGAGAGGTCCGGTTCCTTGGCCCAGGGGGTGTCCCCAGCCCCCCCCCCCCCCCCGCCGGGAGCGGCTGCTGGGGACCAGCTCAGCCTGGTTGGCGGGGCTGGGGGGGGGTTGGGTTGGGCTGAGGACCCTCCTGATCCCCCATAACCTCCCCACAAGTTTGGGTTTGCCAAAAGTTCGAGGCAAGCTGGGAGCGCATCCGGGTGTCGGAGATCAGAAGTTGTCCCTTCAGTGTGTGTCTGTGTGCGTGTATATATATATATATATATATACACACATATATATATATATATATTAAAGATATAGCAAAGGATTCCTCCTCCTTTTTGGCACTTGCTGGGGTTTGGGGAGCAGGCTGAGCCCTCCGGCCGGGCTTTGCAGTTGGCTGTAGGAATTATTTCTGGACCAAACCCGCGCCCAGAGAGACGGCCCTGGCCGGCAGGGCCACCCCAGGGGGGGCAGCAGCAGAAGTACTTGAATGGCTTAGGACAGAGAGTCTGAAGAGAGTCAAGTTGCACAGTGAAAATATATATTTTTATACCTAGCACAACTTCCTGTATATTTTTGGGGTTTTTTCTTTCTTTTTTTTTTTGATTTTCTTTCCTTTTTTTTTTTTTTATTTGGGTTTGTTCGTTTTATTAATTATTATTATTAGGAAGGCAAACTTCTAAAATGTGAAGGGCGTTGGGTTTTTCCTTATCTGGTAGATGAGGGCAAGCATTTTGCACTAATGTTTCCTTTGTGTGGAGGATTAATGATATGTTTGAAAATGTTATATCATAATGATTGTATTCTTCCGAAAAAAAACAAAAAAAACAAAAAAACAAAAAAAAAACAGAAACAAAAAAAAAGTGTAACCCCTTTAAAATATTGAATGTAAGGTGAGAACAGAGCAGTCCATCGATTGTATGCGGCTTTCCTGAGTGCCTTAGAATTTTTTGATCATTTTTTCCAAGGAAAACAGATTAAGAAGATCAGATCATAACCGACTCCTTCCTCCTCTTTGTTTACGACACTATTTTAAATTATAGAATTTGGGGCTGCTTTATAATGTGAATAGGAAACTGCATTCATCTAGGTCTGATAGTGTAAAATCAAAGCATCAGTATTTATGGTATGTCTGCACCTTTATTCTTATGCTTGACTATTAGCAATATTACATGTATATTATATATCTAAAGTTATACCAAGCACCTTTAAAGAAAACGGAGTGTAAGCATACAAGTTACCTGCAGCTGCCATATAGTGTAGAAGCCAGCCCCTCTCCTCCTCGTTAGCGCCAATTAACACCACCAGGCTGAGAGCTGCCGCTTTGCAGAAGGGCTGCATGACCTTCTGCGCACCCCGCGGCTCGGTCCTGCGGGTCCAGCTTTGGCCGGGGGTCCCGGGGATCCCCATCCCCCCCCCCCATCCCCGCTCCCCCCCCCCCGGGGTCAGTGATGTTCCCGCACCGGTTTGGTGGCGGCGATGCCGGTGCTGCCCACGGAGGGGGGACGGCAGAAGATGGGGAGCGGGTCCGTTTTTGTCACCGCGATGGTTTAATTCTTCTAACTGTGGTTTCACCCTAGAGATTCCTCAAGGGCTGGGGCGGGGAGGGGGGGGGGGGGGGCACAGAACACGGGGCTGGTGGGTGACACACACCGGGGCTCCCCCTCCTCCGCCGGGGTGGGGGATTCAACCCATCCCGGCCCCCCAAAACTGGAATTACCCACGGCTTAACCCGTGTTGGAGGGAGCAAAGCACCCGAGCCGTGGTGTTACGCTGGGGGGGGGGGGGGCTGCCACCTCCTTCCCTCAGCCCTTCGCCACCGAGGTTTTTGCTCAAAATCCGCTTGTTTTTCGGGGAAATAGAGCGGAGAAGGGCCGGGGGGGGGGGGGGGAAAGGGGGCTGAGCCCCGGCTGTCGGACCCCAGCACCCCATGGCCGGGCCGCGGCACCTCGGGCATCAACTGCTGTTGCAAGTGTTCGCTGTCGGCATCAGTCGTGCGCGGGGCGGGGGGACGAGCGGGGGGAGCACCCCGGGCTGGGGGGGGCTGACGTCTAACGCACTCACATTTGGAAACCCCTCAACTCCTCCGATGAGTTTCTTCCACTGTTAAGCGTTTTGCACACAAAATTGTGATTTTTATGTCAAGGTAAAAGCCAAAACTTGCAATACTATTTTTAGCAGACCAAGAGAAGAGAAAAGAGAAAAAAAAAAAAAAAAAGAAAAAAAGAAAAAAGAAAAAAAAAAAAGAAATAATAAATAAATAAAAAACAACTGAGTATAAATGTATAAATATTTTTGACTTGAACATTTGGATGGCACTTGATTCAAATAGAACATTAATCCTTTGGACAGAATGTTTGGGAAAAAAAGGACTTAAAGTACAAGGTTGTTTTTAAAGCGTCTTCATAGGGTATTAAGTAGTACTGTAATTCATGACTGTTAAAAATACTTTCTGTGCTGTAAGGAAATCTCACAGTACCACTGAATTATGTTCCTCAACTGTCTCAGCCACGAACGATGCTAGCTTCTTCTTTTTTTTTTTTTTTTTTTTTTTTTTTTTTTATCGTGCATTATTCACTAGTATTTATGTGCTCTTACTCTGTATAGTTAAGACTGTTATTTTGTAGCCATGGCTGACACGATATATCAGTAACTAAAAAAAAAAGAGAAAAGATTAAGACCCCCGAGTTGGAACTGTGCTCATAGCTGTTTTCATATGATGAAAAATCCATTTAAAAAAAAAAAAAACAATGTGATCATTAATTGTAAAACGCTTTGTAAAATTCACATTTACAAAATAATAAAGTAAATTACAATTAAACGCTTTTCTTTCCTCTGGTTTCTTTCTTTCTGGGTGGTGGATGTTGTTAATCACAAGCGGTCATTAATAGGTGCTGAAGGGGCTCCAGGTCCCCGTGCCGCCCCGAGGGGCCCAGGATCCTCTTCCAGGCGTGAAACAAACCCCAACCTCGGCCAGTTGAATGGTTTTGCCCAAATTTTGGGATTTCCAGCATTCTCTCTGCCCTACCCTGGGCTCTCCCCCCACCTCACGCGAGCCGTCTTGGGGCATCTTGTGACTTGGGTTTTTTTCCTGGCCACATCACACACTCCCTTACTCCTACGTTCGCTTTATTTATTATTATTATTTTTTTCAAATTGGATTCGCAGCCGCCCACCCGAATTGGCGCTGGGGCGCTCGGCCAGAGCCGGGGGGGGGGGGCTGAGGTCAGAGGATGTGCTTTCTGCCTGGCCGGCAAGGGAAAGCCTGCAGTGGGCTCCCAAAATCGGGGCAGGTAAATGTCTGCTGCCAGGGGGGGAGTGGGCACCCAGCCCGCACACACGTGTGACGAGTTTGCCAGGCCTCGGGCAGCGGGAGGTCCGAGCTCTGGCTCGGGCTCTGCCCGGGGATGGGGTTGTTACCGGGGTTGATGTTGTCTGTGGGATGGGGAAGAGGAGGGGGAAAGGGCTGCAAAGCCAAAGAGCCAGAGCTGCCCTGGCAGGGTGGGTGGAGGGGGGTGCAAGGGACCCCCCCCAGCTGGAAGGTAGGGCTGGGGATGTCGGGGTGAGTCGGAGCAGGGTGGGCTGCAAGGGTGGTAATTCTGCTCTCTGTAATTTTTATCTTTTTTTTTTTTTTTTTTTTTTTCCCAACCCAATTGGCCATAAAATTGCTGAGAAGCTGCATTTCCTCTGCTTAGCAAAAAAAAAAAAAAAAAAAAAAGTGCCCAAAACCACTTGCATTTGGGGTTTCATTTAATCTCATCTTACTGAAAGGAAAAACACAGAAACTTGGATGCTCATGTACGGCACATACCGCCGTGTTATATAAACCATTTCAAACTGATTTATTCTAAATGAGTTGTTATAATCAGAATTTTCCTTATGAGCAGCTTTCTTGCAAACGTCAGTATTTCAGAAAAAAAAAAAACATCATACGACCGCTCCAATATTTCAAACTGATTACTTATAAACACCATTTCTAAAATTAGGTCTTTGGTGTGCGGTATTGTCAGAGTGGGTGTATTATGATCTGCAGAGAATATAAAAAGATAAATGAGTTATTTAACCAAGTAAACGACGTTGCTGTAGAAATGTGCAGAGGGAAAGTGTGCGGGGGGGGGGGGGACGGGAAGGACACGCTGTAACGTGCCTCTGCCTCACACTGCGGCAGCCGAGAGGGGCCCCCACGGGATGCGGGGAAACCGGGGGGGGGGGGGGGGGGAGAAAACGTGGGGTGGGTGGAGAAAGGTTTCCTCTTCACGTTAATGTTATTATTTTTATGGCTGTTATCATAAAGCGGCCGGTTTCCCTCTGCCCGGCGCTGGGCCGTGATTTCGGCAGCGCCCTCCGGGTGAGAGGGAGGAGGCCGAGCCGCGGGGTGATGGGTGCATCCCCGGGGCGTTAAAAAATGACTATTTGTTGATTTGTTAATGCTGTATTGGGTCACTGCTGGTTTCTGGGAGGCAGCTCTGGGTTTTAAAGACTCGCACTGTCTTCATTTTTCTCGGGATCTGCTCCGGCGGGAGAAACGCCGGAGCTCTGCACCCGCTCAAACTCTCGGAATTTGGCTCTTCACCTCTCACCCCGCCCCGCCGCTGAGTTTTGGCCCCTGGGGTGTAACGGGGCTGCCCTGAGTGGAGGTTGTCCCCACCGTGGGCCCCCAGGGACACAGCTAGGTGGGTGCTGGGGTCAGGGACCACCGGCCCGGGGACAGCAGGGACACCACACCGCCCTTCGTGGCCGGGGAGAAAATACATCCAGGTCTCTCGCAGCGCCCAGAGGCTCCTTCCTTCTCCAGGGAAAAAAAAAAAAAAAAAAAAACAAATTGAGTGAAAGCTCTTCTGCTTGCTGCAGTCCCTGCTGGGCTGCAGATTTAGGCTGCTTTTTGAATTTTTTTTTTTATAGTTTATCTTTTCCAGTGCTTCTCTGCACCGGCTCCTGATGACGTACCACCCCAGGAGGGCGAAGGGGAGCTCATCACCCACCACAGCAGAGGAGGTGAGGCTGCCCGGCTGCAACCAGACACGGCCTAGCCAAAAGGGCCAGAACTTGCCCCCGGGTGCCCGGAGGGGTCCCAAAATGTGAGTTATAGCTAGGGGAAAGCAGGAGGCTCTGGAAGGCATCTGGCCAGGACTGCAGCCAGGAGGGCCAGGCAGCAGCACAGCCCTGGGCAGACATACCCACGTTGGTTGGTGCAAAAGGTGTTGGATATTGCAGTGTTGGTCATTGCAGAAGACGTTGGCCATTGTAGAAGACGTTGGCCATTGTAGAACGTTGGCCATTGTAGAACATTGGCCATTGTAGAAGACGTTGGCCATTGTAGAAGACGTTGGCCATTGCAGAAGGTGTTCATCCTTGTCTTTGCAGCCAGGGGGATGCCAGTGGGCAGCCAGCAGACACTGGGAGCTGTGGTATCCCGGCACCACGCCACTCTACCAGCACCAAGTTCCCACGTCAGCCCAGCACCGTCCCTGTTCTTGACCCCAGGGGAAAGAGGAGAGAGCAAGAGCCGCGCCTGGCCAGAGCCGACACGCCGGGTACAGCCAGGCCCATCCCTCCCACCTCCCTTTCCCCGAGATTGCTGCCCAGGAGGGTGGCACGGGGGGGGTAGCAGGGAGGGTGCGGGCCCGCGGGTGCTGGGGGTGCTGCCGTTCCCTCGCCCTAACTCCGTACGTGTGAATGAAGTGTGAGATTTATGTCAGAGAGGCCCATCGAGCAGAGGCTATAAATCACGGCCGCGAGCGCTCCCTGCACCAGCGGCTGAGGAACACTTCACGGCTTCTCTTATTTATATGCATCTTTTGCACCAAGCCATTTTATAATAGACTGGAGGGGCACTCCAGCCCCGGCGAGGGCTGATATATATCGTGCAGGACAGGAAATACAAATAAAGGGTGAAGGGTAGGAACTGCATCACTCCCGACGCACGCCGCCGTGCCCGCCTTGCTCTGCGGCGCTGACTTGGGCACACCAGCGCTGAATGAAGATTGCCACCAGCACATAAATCAGCCCGGTCGAGCAGGGCTGCAGGCAAGGCCTTTGGTGTGTTATTGTAGGGTAGCTTAATAATAATAATAAAAATAGTAAAGGTAATGCCCCGGGTTTGGCGAAGGGATGGTGGGGGGTGGCAGGGATGGGTGGGAGCGGGAGCGTGGCAGCCGGCCACGTGCCGGGGGATGGCGAGGGCTGGCGGCAGCGGCACCCGTGGGGTGGCAATTAACCCCACCAGCGTGTGGGTAATTAGCGTGCAGCCGCTCCCCCAGCAGCTAACGAAGGGCTGAGTCGCAGGGGGGTGGCTGGGTGAGCCAGGCGTTTGATTTTTGGCCCCCGGGGTGATGCTGTCTGCGCTGGGGCTGGGCTGGGGGGTGGTGACAGAGGGGTGGCACCCCAAATCCTCAGTGGTGGGGTCTGGGCCTTGCTGGGTCCAGGCAGAGTCCCGTGGGGCCGGCAGCCCTTGCCCAGCTCTCATCCCCCCTGGGGCTCTGCTCCCTCTGGGAGAGGAATTAGATCAGTCTAATTCAATGCAAGGACAAAAAGGAAAAAAAAAAAAAAAAAAGAAATGTTGAGCCACAAACCAAGACAACAGATAAATCCAGGAGGGGTATGTAATCTCACTCACTGGGC